GTGGGGGGTGGGGGCTGGGGAGCGGGCCGGGCCGGTGGGAATCTCCATGGTTAAGTAGAGCAGAGGAAGGGAAGTCTTCGTACCTTCTGGGCCTCAGGCTGCCATCTATAAGACAGGGACACGGGTCGGCTGCTATCTGGAGCGCTGGCCCTCTGCCCCCGGCCGGGGTTTCCCAAGGTGTGCAGAGGGTCGAGGGAGTTAGCGTAGGGCCCCCACCCCCCAGCAAATGGCGTCTTTCCTGGGCAAGCTCCACAGTGCCTGGTGCTCCTGTGAGGCTGTGAAGGGCCTGTTAGTGGGCATGGGTGTGGCCAGCTTGGCCCCTCCGGGCTGAGGGGAATCTGAGCCCACGCTCTGGGGCCCTCACTGGAAGCTGGGGCTATGGTGTGGGCCTGGGGTAGTCCGGGCACATGGGTACAGCGTGGCCGTGTGATCGGATGGGGGGGTGGCTTTGTGAGGATGGTGACTGGCCCGCTTTGCCGAGTGGGCTCAGTCTCTTGGGCAGTGTGACAGGCTGTCCCCAGGAGACAGCTGTGGTTGAAGAAGGCAACACTCCTACCCTGTACAGGGGTGTCACTGGTGTACAGAAGTCACCAAGGGAATAAAATAGTCTTTGTTTTTTAGGAGGCTTCGTTTGTGTATCACAGAAGAAAGGGCTTCATTCCACACCCCTCCCCGGAGTCGGGGGCCGGCTGGGTCTGTGTGCCCTCAGGCCCTGAAGGCAGCCCCAGGTGTGTGACCTGGGGGAGGCTTTGGGGCACTTCTAGACAGACCCCCAGTGTCCTCGTCTGCAGTGTGGGGCTAATGGAGGCATGAGGATTAAGTGAGTAAAGCTCAGACGTGCTGGACGAGGTCTGGGCATTCAGCAGGCGCTCCTCGGGTGTCTGGTTATCCCAGCGATGGGAGGCCTGGTCCCTGCTCATGGCAGTGGGTGCTGTGAGCTCCAGGACCGAGCTGCACTGAGGGCAAAGAGGGACACTGCTGAGGTCAGAGATGGCCCCCCAGAGGAGGGTGAGTGGATCTGCCCATCTTAGACCTAACCCTGCCTAAGAGATCCCTGAGGGCTTCCTGGAGGAGGCCTCGGTTGCCCACCCCCACGTCTGCTCAGTCTCCTGGAGTCAATCCTGGGCATCCTGCATCTCCAAGGGTGGGCAGGGGAGAGGGCCCCAGCTCTCCCTCCAGGAGGGGATCCTGCTGCAGTGCCTTCACACCCCATTTAATCCCAGCACCAGCCTGTGATGTTGGGCTTGTCTGCAGTTTCCAGGGACAGGAGGCCAGAAAAGGGCTGGTGGTGACCCTGGGGTGAAGTGTCCCCAGGTGCATCACAGGTCCTGTTAACCCAGTGGTCCCCTCCCGGGGGTCTCAGGGAGCAGCTCCTTCCCCCATGAGGTCCTCTGGCCTCTCACTTCTCTCCTCTGAGAGAACCCAGGCAAATGCTAAAAACCAGAGTCCCCCACTCCCACCTCAGCACTGATGGTTAAACATTACCAACAGATTGGTTGGGAGAAGTGTGGGTGTGTNCACCTCAGCACTGATGGTTAAACATTACCAACAGATTGGTTGGGAGAAGTATGGGTGTGTTTTTTTTTATCAANAAACCAGAGTCCCCCACTCCCACCTCAGCACTGATGGTTAAACATTACCAACAGATTGGTTGGGAGAAGTGTGGGTGTGTTTTATTTTACAATTTATTTTTTCCCTGACTTAAATTTATATTTATTCTGTTTGGAATAAGTAACATATTAATGTGGCAAAAAATAAAAATGTAGATGAAACCCAGGCTGTGCAGTGAAGGGGAAACCTGGTCCCCACCACCTCCCCAAGGGGCACACCCCTCCTGGCCAGCCAGCACGCCCCTCCCTGGAGCCAAGGACTGTCTCCAGCTCCTGGAGGACATCCGGGCATGTCCTGGATGAGTCCTGGCATGGCGGAACAGTCCCAGTCCCCAGAGTGTGGCCTGGGTACTGACTGCTTTTAACTTGACAGTTATCTTGGAGACGTGTAGCTGAAACAGACGTTCATCTTCTCGAAGGTCTGGAAGGCCAGGAGTCTAAAGTTCATTGTCAGCAGGGAGGGCTCCTNTTGACAGTTATCTTGGAGACGTGTAGCTGAAACAGACGTTCATCTTCTCGAAGGTCTGGAAGGCCAGGAGTCTAAAGTTCATTGTCAGCAGGGAGGGTTCCGAGGGAGGACCTCTGTGGCCAACTTCCATGGCCCTCCCTGTGGACAGCAGGGTCTTGTAACAGGGCAGGAACTCAGCCCTGTGCACACACCCTCTCCAGTCTTCATAGCCTCCAGCTGAGGGAGGTCACACTGCCAGCTGGTGCTGGAGCAGGAGCCCAAAGGCCCTCCTGGTCTGCAGCCCTCACCGCACCCCTTCCCCAGGCCTGGCCATGTGCCAGATGGCCACCTTCCACCTGCAGCAGGAGTCCCCAACAGCCCAGGCTGATCACCGAGTTCCCGTGGCTGCAGTGACAGACACCCCAGAGTGGCAGTTCCAGCAGGGGAGGAAGGGGCAGGGATCTTGGACCTACCACGTGTGTGCCTTGGCCTTGGCTTCCTTGCTGCTGTGCCCCCCACCTAACATGGCACCTACTGGCCCTCCCGGGGGAGGCCGTGGCTGCTGGGACCTGGGCCTAAGCGGTTCCCTTGCTCGCCCCCCTCACTGGGAAGCCGTTCCCAGTGGCCCGCCCACCCAGCCACCCTCTCCTAGGCCCGACAGCCCGCACTTCAGCTGTAAAGGGCCCCCTGTGTGTCCAAGCCTCCCATGGCGCGGAAACTCGCAGCAGGCAGGGCCGGTGCTCCAGAGCCAGACGCCGCTGGGTGGGGAGCCACCCCCTGGAAGGCTGGCGGCATGTCTACGTGCAAAGGGTCCCATCCCCGGAGCTCCCTCGGTAGCTCTGCAGGTGTGGTGGCTCCTCTGCCTGCTGGGCACCCTGGAAACCACGCCTGGTCATCCAGGTGGGTTTGGGAAGCAAAGTGGGCAGGACTGATGCCTGAGTGGATGTGAGGGGGTGAGAGGTGGGGGACCACCATGACGCTCCCTCTGGCTTAACTGTCCCTGTGGATGGTGGGGATACAGGATGGGGGAGGGCACTAAGAATGAATGGGTGAGTGAGGGGATGAGGGCAGAGGCTGCTGAGTACAGGGCCAGGCTGGGTTTTGCCAGAGAGTGACAAGGGAAGGCAAGAACGTAGGAGGGAGTGAACCTGGGACATGGGGCTCCTGGGGCCGGATGGTGAGTAGATTGGCCGAGGGCGCCCCAGAGAAGCAGGAGTGGCAGAGAGAGAGCGGGACCCCAGGACAGAGGCTGGGGGCTGCAGGTGTCGGAAACACGAGGTTTGGGGACAGCCGTGACTGGCAGGCTGGAGTGGGGTCATCAGGAGGATAAGGCCAAGGATGACCATCCTCCAAGCCGATGCTGAGGTCACCAGGAAAGATGGGTGGGGAGCGAGGGACCCAGCATTAGCATGAACAGNGATGCTGAGGTCACCAGGAAAGATGGGTGGGGAGCGAGGGACCCAGCATTGGCATGAACGGTGGCTGGGTGACTGCGGCAGAGTGGGGTTGGGATGGAAGGATTTGGGAGTGGGAGCGGGCTGAGCCCCACCCCGCCGCCTGTGGTGCCAGGGTGAGAGGAAGGCAGCCAGGCTTGGAGGGCTTCCTGACCCCTCTTGCCAACCTGCACCAGGTCCTGACTTCACCCAGGACAGGACAACGGTCGGGCACCCCTCCCCTGGTCTAGGGGTGCACCAGGAGCCCTCCCAACCCCAGGCCTTGCTCAGGTGGCCCCTCCTGGAATGTCTCCCCGCCGGTGCTTCAAGGGCACAAGTGCCCCCCCCCCACCTCTCCTGGGGTCCCGCCCATCTTCCCTGTCCCTCTTGCTAGGTC